AGTAATGTAGCAAAACTATTGTGAGAATTTCAGAACAGGATGATTAACATGCATAGGCTTGCAGCATTCATGCATACCAGGCTACTAATGGCTGCTCTGCAGTCTGCACAGGGAGTTTGTTATATGGCTTTCCTTCATTTCAACTGTACTTATTTGTGTGTCTCAAATAGAGAAGCCACAGTATAGCAGAGAAGCCCACGGGTCCCATTTGGCCTGTAAGCAAGTTTAAATTAGATAGATGCTGCCTCAGACTGGAGGGTAGGGGTAATGCCTTTCCCTGTTTTTTTTTTTTTTTTTGCGGGATCTCTGGGTCTGACCCACTGCATCTGTGAATATAGAAGAGGACAATAGGCTGAATCCATGGGCTGTCTGTCTTGAGCCATTTTGCCTTTTGGGTCTGTGTTTCACATTTTCTCTGGTTCCCTGAGGCAGAGACGCACCTAGGAGAAGTACAGAATGTTGCTTCCTGCTACTTGGATGTAGAGCCATCAGAATATGGGGTTCGCCTCCAGTTGTTGGAGAATTCCTCTGATGGACTCTGTATTTACATGGACTCTACCTCTGCAGGTATGTTGGGGCAGCACAAAGCCTGGTTAGGAGTAGGGACTAGGGAATTAGAGATAATGACTGTTTCTTGTTGAACTGTTCAGTCTGTCTGTAAACTATGTAATGTTGCACTTAAACCATTAAACTTTGCCTTCTGCCTGGTCTGAAGTCCTTGAAAAGGGTGCACTGCAAGTAACCAACACTATCACACACTTAGTCTACCACTTAGGTCACTTACTCATGGGGTATGAAGAGTCAGCATGTTAAGGGTCATTCTAGTGTAAGTTATACCTGTGGTTACCATGAGAAATGGAAGGTACAGTTAGCAAGCAGTCTGCAGTCTGTACATGTGCCTGTTATAGGTGGAATTGCCTCTAGGCGCAAGGAAGTTGTTGCCATCATTCTCTACGTTTCATTCCATCTACCATAGAAACTGGAATGGAATTGCAGTGCAGAGGTCCCAATCCTGTACAGAGGTTCAAGAGTTAAAGGGATGTGCATGGTAGCAGCTCACGCTATGTGCACTGCGGGGTTCCATGCTGCTACTGGGACAGGTAGTGGGAAACGCCGGACAGGTGTCTGTGGTCAGTGTTTGACACGGCCAACCTAAATGCAAGCTACAACAAAAATTATGTACATTTACATGGGGACCTGAGAATGAACTGGAGAACAGTTGTTGTCCAAGTGTATGTGGTGTACGTTCATCTCTGAGACTGGGGGCCCCGCTTAAGGTTGAGCATTCCCTAACAGCAACCTCAGCCTTGTCCGGGGCATTGGTGAAAACAGCACAAAGTAAAGGTACCCCGTGTGTGAAATGGGCTATGCTAGGTGCCTGTCCAAGGCGCTTAGTGTAGCCCAGAGGGACCTACCACAGGGGTAGGCCTCTCATGTTTCACAAACTTGGTGCCCAACGAGTTAAATGGAAAACTTCCAATCAAAACCACCCAACCTGCCTGCTACAAGCCTCCAATGTTTATATTATCCAACTTTTTCACAAAATATGTTGGAATATTTATTTTCCTTCTTGATTGCACAGAACATATGAACAGGTTGTAATACATCCATACATTATAGTCATTATTGTAATAAACACTTTGGGTAATGTCACTGATTGATTCCACTTTCTACCTTCTACCTGGCAGGACGGGAGCTGGATGAAGAACAAGAGGCCTCTCTGCTGTCCTGGGAGTCCTACATGAAAGACAACTACCAGCAGATGAAGCAACAGCAAGATGATCATAGCCAGGAGAATCTGGTGAAGGAAACGGCTGACAGGTAACATTTGTAAACTCCTCTGCCCTGGGTAACTACAGAGAGTGGTTGTAGGCAGGGCCCAGGAAAATGTACTCAACTTGGGACATACCACCACAAACTGAAAGAACAGGTGAGCCGCTGCAGCTGTCACATGCTATTTAAAGCTGCTTTTGACAAATTAAAATCAGTAATAACTGAGAACGTGTTCATGTGAAACACGTCTACTGCTCCTCTGTACAGTCTTGTAGCTGCAATGTTTTTATCAAATTATTTGTAAAAGATCCCAATAAAGGATTTTATCCACTACATTGCTGTTTGTGCGGCCAGCCATTGTGTCTTGACATTTACATACCACCAAAAAGCCAGGACAGCAAATTTATCTTGTATTAGTTTGAACAGGATTACACACAGTACTAGTAATGCACTGATATGAAATTCACAATAGAACAGCTGTAAGAGAAGGCCAATTCGCATGAATTGTTTCACAATTACTGTACATAAACCAAAGAAGTCCTTCCACAGAAGGGGAGGTGATGTCATACTATGAGACTGGTGGTACAGCTCCCTGCTGTATAAGGCTGTCCAGTCTTCCCATCATGGATACCAGAGTGTAATATACGCAGCAGGACAGCCCTACCCTTTCCTTTCTTGTCGAGTACCTCTCCCTGCTCTATCAATCCTGACCCTAACCAGCAAGGTTCTGTCCCTATCCTCACATGGCGCAGGGCCCCTCTTATATTATGTCCCACTTCAGATCTTACAGGAATTCAGCATCCAATCAGACACATGTCCTCTCCAAGATTGCTGCTGGAGTCCACAAGGGAAGACAATTTCCCTATCAAACTCTTTTCCATCTGGAGAAGTGGTGCAATGCCACCTACAGGCTGGAGGAATATAGAGGAGAGAGAGGAGCGCCAGACTAAGTGTAGTATAAAAGTCACAGTTTATTGCACACAATATAAAAACACTCACAGGAGGTAGAGCTATATCAGGCATCAATTAAATATAGGGAGGACATCATCCGGGTGTGATCCCATCAGCAGGATGGATGGAGTTCCAAGGGCCACAGTTGTACTAGCTGGTACTCCTTGGCCATTCCCGTGGGAGGAGTGAGGAGGGCGGGTGGATTTCCAGGGGGCCGCGGTGCATGGGATGGAGGAATATGCAGCCTGTTTTTGCCAACATGGTGCCATTTAAGACACTCGTGAGCCCAGGGCTAACTAATGCCCCTGTCTTTAGTAACATGCTAGCTGCCAGGACACACAAAGGTGGGTTCTCCAGCTAATAGGGGAGAGGACCTTGTTTGGTGATGAAGGAATGAGGGTAGAGCTTACATTGAGCAGGTAAGATCAGTTGTCTAAGCTTTCAATACCTCTGGCCACCACTGGGTGGACTTCCAAATCTCGCTGGGTGGCCACAATTGGGCAAATACAAATCTTACATGCAATGTAGTTCACTCTAAGGGTTGGGGAACATCCTTGTAATTGGAATTCACTTCTAAGATTCTGTCTGTGAATTGGAATCCTGGCACACTTTACCATTCTTACTGGCCCACACACAGCCACACACATCAAACACACAATTCAGGGTAGTTTGCCACCGCTTGGCAGTTTATCCGCAGACTAGTTCACTAGACAACAATACGCTCACAGACATTCTGCATGCAATCCACAGACACAGTGCAACTGCATACAGATTAACCACAAGCTTGGACCGAGCATACAGACACTGGTAACACAATGCAACAATCTCTTTAGATATATGAGTTCTTAGTTTAGTACCCAGGAGTCACTTATTAATTTTAGATTTTAATAACCATAGGAGTGCAGTGCATAACAATATCTACAATGATACAGTTACAAGTAAAAAAGATAAAGGACAAACAGGATTTGGCTATCAAATGAAAGAGGAGCAAAACAGAAACAATGTTTTCCATTTTTTGGCAGTATGGTTTATCCTGCTAGTGGGAGCACACCAAGAAAAGTAGCAATCGGCTATGTGCAGAACAGCCTTTTGAAATGTATGGATGTGGTCTGGAATCCAAATCTTGGCTAATCCTCTGTGAGGGGATATCACCTCACCTGCTGGGAGGAAAAGTTCTACCTTCTGAAGTGGCCAGAGGTTATATGGACCAGCCGGTTCTGATGACTGGGTCAGGGATAGGATTTCTAACACCAGCCCATCAGCAGGATCACAAGTCCTCTGACCATATGGCTGCTGCAATCAGGCCCCATATAACCTTTTATTGGTCACTAAGGGACCATTTTTATCTCCCTGTGATAAATATTTCTGATTTTATTAGAGATAAAATATATTCCCTCAAATCTTTGAAAATAATAGTGTCACAATAGACAGTCCAGTGTCTTCTATCTGAGATACCCCGTCTCTTCGGATTCTGCAGCCAATGGTCTAGTGAGGTGACAGTCTTATGTGCAGATGAAGGTGGACAACTGTCAGAAGCTACTTGATATCAGGATGTTAAAGCGGAGCTCCACCCAGAAGGGGAAGTTCTGCTTTAAGGACTGCTCCCCCGCTCCCCATCAAGGATTGGCATCTTTGGGGAGCAGGGGGTACCGGAATTTGACAGGTATACCCACTGCCAGCTCCGGGTCTGATCGCCATTGGCGATCAGAAACGGAAGGTGTCCTCCCTCCCTGTAGTCTTTTGGGACACGTGACAGGTCCCAGAAGACTACAGGACCATTCATGAAGCGCAGCGCTACTCACGCATGCATGCGCAGTGTGTATCCAGCTGTGAAGCCGCACACTATCACAGCTGGGTGTCCAGATGCCGGCCTCCAGGAATACAGGACAGCTGGTGAAACGAGCTGCTGGGGACACACAATGGGACCGAGAGACAGGTAAGTACCTGTATTTTAAAAGTCAGCAGCTACAGTTTTTTTAGCTGCTGACTTTTATTTTTTGACAAGGTGAGTGGAACTCCGCTTTAAGTACTTCAATCACCAGGCTCAAGATCAGCCTATTCAGATTCTAAATTGTGACCAGTTGTCTGCTACCCTGACCCCTGAATTAATAAAATAATATATCTGTAATACCATTGAAATGAAAGAATATTTGGAATATCACATTTGTTACATGATGTATTTCTGACATGTCACATTTGTGCCCGGTGCAGTGTCTCCGCCGTGCTGCGTCTGCTGAAAATTGAGAAGGGCAGCGAGGGGCACCAGCTGGATGGAAGGCTGGCTGCGCTGGAAAAGCAGGTAATATTCTCAGTTTTCCTCTATAGTCGTAGTGTATGACCCTCTGTTATCCATCATGGTGGGGTGTCTGCACCCCAGGGACAGCACAGTGGCTAAATGGTTTGAACTTCCGCCCGGCAGCACTAGGGTCATTCCCAGCCATGACACTACCTGCCTAGATTTTTCATGTTCTCCCTGTGCCTGCGTGGGTTTCCTCCCACACTCCAAAGACATGCTGGTAGGTTAATTGGATCCTGTCTGAACTGGCCCTAGTATATGTACAGTATTTATGAATGTAAGTTAGGGACCTTAGGTTGTACGTTCCTTGAGGGTTAGGGACTGATGTGAATGTACAATATACAATACAGTATATAGGTAAAGTGCTGTGTAAATTGATGGCGCTATGTAAGTAGCTGAAATAAATAAAAATATATCCTACTTGTAGTCCCCCAAGAAATTTCTGTACCCTATATAACCCTGCTATAGTTCACTTTCATGCAGTGTCTGCTCTCTATATTCCCTTCTTTAGGTTCACCATTAAAGAGGCAGCTAACAGGTTATAAAGACAGAAGGTGTTTTACCTTCATGCATTCCATGTATGAAGGCAAAAAAACCTTCTGTGTGCTGCCCCCCACAGCCCCCCAATACTTTCCTGAGCCCCCTCTAGATTCAGCAATGTGCACAGGAGCCTTGGCTGTCAGGGGTCTCTCTCTCCTCATTGGCTGAGACACAGCACGTGGGAGCCATTGGCTCCCACTGCTATCAAACATAGCTAGTAAGGCAATAAGAATAGAGTGGGATTCGGGGTCTAGCCGCAGCTCTATGTGTCTTAAGAATGCACAGAACAGGGTTTAGGAGTGAGCACGCACCAGTGCCCCCATAGTAAGTGGTTTGCTATTGGGGGCACTGACCAGGGGGGAAGAGCCAGGAGCACCTGTAAGGGACATGAGAAGAAGAGAATTGGGGCTGATCTGTGAAAACCGGCAAAACAAAGCAGGTACGTATGGCAGGCTTGTTGTTATTTTTTTAGTTTGTTTTAAGCTGAAGCTTTAATATCACTTTAAAGCTTCCACGCAGCTGGCTGACCAAGGCAGGGGCGGACTAACCATTTGGAAACTCGGGCACTGCCCGAGGGCCCGGGGTCAGTAGGGGGCCCCATGAGATGCCCCTGGTACCTTTTTCATAGGCTTTTTTGAGTTTGGGCAAGGACACAGGGGCCCCATGATCCCCTATTGCCCGGGGGCCCCATGAGTTGTCAGTCCACCCCTGGACCAAGGTCACATGGGTTGCACTTAGCAAAAGGGAGCTGGGTATGCCTGTTTTGTTCAACTTCTCTTCTCTATGGTTCGGAATCTGTCTCATGGTTTTAGACACTGGACTGATAGCAAGTGCTGCACAGAAATCACCTTGTTTCTCTGGGACCTGAAGCTGTTGGATCAGGAATATAGATAATAAAGTCAGAATCATTGCATGGATGGGGCCCTGACAATGAAAGCTATACTGGTGATATCATAGCTAGGGAGGGCCAACTATGGCAGGTTCTGATCCAGGCAGAGAGAGATTTGGGGAGCTCAATGCCCTTTTGGGGTTATTTATTAAAACTGGAGAGTGCAACATCTGTTGCAGCTCTACAGAGAAACCAATCAGCTTCCAGGTTTTATTGCTAAAGCGTAACTGAACAAGCTAGAAACTGATTGGCTGCCATGCACAGCTGCACCAGATTCTGAGTGCACCGGTTTCTGCTCACATGGCCACAGGGCCATGCAGTGGCGTGATCTGTCACCAGCTGTGTCCTATGGACACAGCCATTGACAGATCACTACACCGGTTCGCTGTCAGTACCATATGATTGCTGTGACTAATATATTAAAGGATAAGTTCACCTTTCATGTTACATGTTACATCCATATTCAGGGTGTAACATGTAACATGTTATGTTCGGACCTGCCCCCGCTCCCACCGATCCCCACTTTGACAGCTAGAGGGAGATCTTCTCCCCCCTCGCTAGCTGTCAGATTAAAAAAAAAACATGGTCGTGCAGGGCTCCGCCCACATGGCCATGTTACTCATTCTTAGTCATCTGTGAATGAGAGACTACAAGTCCCGATAGCCTTAGTGGCTGTCAGCTTGTAGTCCTCAGTGAACTACCACGAAGCTGTGAAGCGCCATGGTAGTTCATTCATTCTTCCTGCCAGTATATCGGCTTGATCATACATCCCATACGACAAGCAGATAAACTGACAGGTCTGCAGGAGACCTGCATGGCATTCAGCGATCTACTGATTTCTGGTGCAATGTTTTCCAAGCTCCTGCAGACAAAATAATAAATGCAAAAAAATGTGCATTTATTATTTTTTTCTAAAAGCTGAACTTATCCTTTAAGTATTTAGAGGCTTTATGGTGGAATAGCCAATTTTGGCACTTTTCTTTCTGGAACACGAGACCAGTGAATCTGGCTATTGCTACCCCAAGATCTAGTCAACACCAGATTTGAAGTAAGCCAGAAGGTAGACTACTTTATTTGAACACAGATACAAGATATATACACTCAGGGGGCAATCCCCCCTCCTGCATAATGACACAGGGCGAAACAATCTTCATTTAGTAACAAGAGACACACAGGTATTCAAACTTCACATCAGCAAACAGTACCATCAGGAGGGAGGGGTGCTTGAGACACCCCCACACTAAGCTAATACACATAAACACATACATCCCATAATAGTTTGGTCCCAAACCAGACACACAATAGAACAATGGGATGGAACCACATAACACCAAACAATCCACAACCCCCACCCCACCTATCTCCTAGACATGTTTACACAATATTAGGACAGATCACCCTGTACCCCTAACAGGCACAGGGTGACTTATACATAAGAGGGATATGGGGAGCTGAGACAGGGGTCTCCCTACCTCTCCAAAGTGATCTGGGTTCCATGGACCCCCCACCCAAAGTGACTCCTGTCACATACATGTAGGCCAAAAATTCATTTTTTCACTGTCTGTAAGGCTGGCATTTTGAGCACCTCTGTAAATGGGGCATTCTCACCTCTGGCTACTGATATAAGGGCATTTTTTCCCACTGACCAATGAATTGACTTTAGCAGGGTTTCCCTAAGACCTGAAAACTAGTTCAGAGATTCCTCAGAGACAAAAATCTGGAGAAAGACTGATGTAGAGCAAGAGCTTTTCTCATTTGATACAAATTGAAAGGATTATTTAGGTTTGCCCTTATATTGCATAGTCTTACTAAATGTACAGGAGATTGCACAATCTGATTTTATAGTGCATGCCCATCTTAACTGTGTCTTGTGTTGCAGATCGATCAGTCTACACAATTTATGAACTGGATCATCTCAGCCTTGATGGAGAAAGGTTTCAGCAGTAAGACGCGGATATTAGGTAAATGTGTGTGCAGATTGGTACATTGTTTACATAATAATATGAGGTGGATTCTGTTATTTTATCTCTTTTTTTTCCCGGCCAGTCCACAGCACTTCCCACGACTCAGAAGAAAAGGCCACAGCAAGCACAGATGGAAGTATCGAGAAGCACTGCCTGTACCATGTGAACTCTCGGATCCTACAGTACCCGACTCTAAAATGACCCGCTACCCAGTGCCAGATGAACTGGTGCCATGGGAGGTGAGTCCCTTCTGGTGACAGGAAGACCTCTACAGTGTCAGGATGAGGTTCTCTGGCAACCAAGGCAAGGATGCCAAAGTGTACCCCCTTTCCCCTGCGTTTTATAATTTGGCACTTATCAAAAAAAAAAAAAACGTTAAGGGAAGGGAATAAAGTCACTAATAACATTATATAAAAGTTAAGTAAAATTCTTATAGGGCTAATACTAAAAAAAAAACAAAAACATGCACACACAAAGTGGTGACCATGGGGATGTTCAGGATATGAAATCATGAACTTCCCTTGCATATCATCCGCAGGTGGAGTTCCCAGGATATAATCCTCCCCTCTACAATGCTGAGAGGAGCGACCGTGGGACATATGACCCAAACACTGAGTAAGTTATTCATTTTCAGCATTTTACAACTACATTTACAAGGAGCAAAAGAACAAAAAATTATTATCCTGAATTGTAAGGTAAAATTGATTCTTCTGACTTTGTATTGAGGAAAATAGTACCAATAGGAACAGTCATCAAATTATCAGCATGGTTCAAAAACGTAACATTACGTTATAAAAGATACAAAATATATTACTAAAACATTAAATAACCAAAACATATAATAATATTATGAATATATGATAATATATGATATAAAAGTAAAGCCTCGTACACACGATGAGAATATCAGCTGAAAAAAAAACGCATTCAGAGCGATTGCCTGATAATCTGATCATTATTACACAGCTTTTGGGAGCCGGTCAAGAAAGTTCATGCAAAAATATCTGAAGGGACAAGCACAAAAATTGTTCTCGTAACATAACAGAATGAACGATTTTCATGTAATTTTTATAGTATTTGTACAAAAAAAAATCGGGTGACCAAGACCGCACTTGCTCAGAAACACAAAAAAAAATAAAGTACAATACAATGCATTCCATCACTTCCAAAGTTGTATTCTGTCTTAATTTTCGAAACCATAGTAACCTCTTCCTTTTTGATATATAAAAAACAAAAAAGGAACGGTCATTCGTCAGATATGCTCATCGTCTGTACTAGGCTTTAGGAATAGAAAATGTAGCCAGCATAACAAGACTTGAAGACATGAAAAGTAAACGATATGACACAGTGCACATTAAGTTGCTACTATCCATATGTACTATATGGCCTAACATTTGTGGACATTTCACCTTTCTAACTAGACATGTGTTTCATTTTGAAACAAACCGATTTTTGGAAAAAAATTAGATTTTCTGATATTCGGATGTATATGAATCTCCGAATGGACGTAGTAACTAATGTCAATGAGTCTAAAAAAAAAGTTAATGAAAGTAACAAATGCATTAATTTCATTCAGATGACATCAAATGATTCAGTAGTAGTTCGGGCCCATGGGGAAATGAATCCGAATTATCAAACAAATTTGAAAACTGAATGCAAGTAAATCTGTGATTTAAATTTAATTTGTAATTCTCACAGTGAGTCAGTTCAATTCCACAGTCTAATGCAATTCTTAGGTTTGAAAATTCAGGACCAACAAATTTTGCATTTTGTATTCGATTGCATCCCAAAATGCCAAGTCCTTCTGAATAGTTTTGATATATGAATATTTAATCCACCAGAAATATATTGTAATCTTCTGAAAAAAAAAGCAACATTTTTCAAATTCACCTGGACCAACAAATATGTGAAATAAACGCCGAAGACACATAGCGAGTTTCAAAAACCAGAATAACATAACAAATATGACAAATATAACTTCAGTGAATGAATGCATCTGAAACTAAACCATAATTTCCGGCAAGCACATGTCTACTACTAACTGGCCTCTAAATTTTTTAGGTGTTTCCAGCAAGTACTAGCTACGCAATTGCATGCAAAGTCATTGCAGACAATTGTGCTCTTCCAATTTTATTGAAACAGTTTTTCTGTTCCAACATGATTGTGCCCCTGAATATAAAGCTAGCTTCATAAAGACATGGTTTGACCAGGTTGTTGTGGAGGAATCTGAGTTACCTGACCTCAACCCTAATGGGACGACCTGGAACACCAATTGCTGGTCAGGTCTTCTCCTTCAGCATTAGTACCTGACTTCATTAATGATCTTTTGGCTGAATGGGCACAAATTCCCAAAGACATAGTCCATTATCTTGTAGAAAACCTGCCCAGAGTAGTGAAGGCTGTCATGGCACAAAGAGGCACCTACTCCATAATTATGCCCATAGTTTTGGAATGGGAATTCCAACAAGCTGTGATAGTCATATGTCTACACATTTTTAGCCATAGAGTACTTTGTGTGAATAGTTTTGCCGTGACCCAAATAGTGACAAAATATACAAAATGAAGGCCGTACTTACAAACGTTTGCACCTCTAAGTACAGTATGGGCATCTGCTGTGCTGTCCGCATTTATATAGTTAGAAATAGTAAAATATTTCTTCCATGTAACCTGAAGAGATAATCACAGCAAACTATTAGTTACAATGTCTCAGAGTAATTATATAGATGAAGACTAAAGAGGTCCTGTCCTGTGTACAGCCTCTGCACTCAACCTGTGTTCTCTTTGTATTTCTCCTAAATCCAGGATGGAGCAGAAAAGCCGCAAGTACAATTTTACAGATGGACTCTATGACTTTCGCAGCTGGTGCGGCACCTATACAGTCAAGGACGGTTTGCCCTTGTGAGTCCAATGTGTTTTATGCTGTCTTCTCTCATTTAGGGCAGATCTGTATGTGTCACATCCCCTGACCTCTGTAGGGTGTGTGATGGTCCCTCTGAACTCAGAAACCCCTGAACTGTGTAAAAATTGTAGATGTAGAAAAAGATGAAAGTGAAATTTGTGAATGTGGATTGTACAGAGCCCATGAAGAGGCAGGCAGATAGTCAGAGCAAGGTAGTCACCACCCTGTGGCTTGTAACTAAGATGCCTCCAAACTAATGGCAATGGTTTTAGAGGGGAAGACTACTTTCTGGTTTGCCAATTACCATCATTGTAACAGGGGCTTCACCCTTAATCAACAATGCATTGAGGCTTCACCACAGTCTGAGAACCAAAGTCACGAGGGCTTTTATGCTAAGCACCACTGTAATTAACAATATACCAGGACTTAGTTCATGTTATGGAGCCTTTGTCACTAACCACCAATGCAGCAGAGGCTTGCCACTGATTACTAATGTAACTGTGACTTTACCACTGACCACCAATGTAAAAGAGACCTGGCCACTGACCATCAAACTAACAAGGACTTCATCACTCACCTCTGGTGTAATGGGGGTTTGTTATTGACCACTAATATAAAGGAGGCTTTGTAACTGACCTCCAATGTAAGAAGGGATTCACCACTGACCACCAATGTATTATGTATTTTGTTGCTGACCACCAGTGCAAAGGGAGCTTTATTGCTTATCAGCAATGTTATTGACTTTGCCACTGACAACCAATATGAAAGGAGATGTGCCACAGAACACTAATGTTTATCAGGGCTTCTCCACAAACCAACGTGGACCTTTGGCCTGACCGCAGTATAATGGGCTAGTTTCCAATGTGTTTTTTTTTTTGTTACCGTCTTGTTATGGGCCTTGTGATTTGTGGTTATGCCTGTGGCCAAAACTGATATTTGTTGAAGTAGAACTATAGGCAAAACTTTTTGTTTAATTTTGGATAGAGTAAGGAAGGGCTTTAACCCCTGACAGTTTATTTTTTGCCATCTGTGTCCCATTGCCATAACAGGAAGTGACAGAAAATCCCTGCAAATTAAGGGAATTCCTTGGAGACCCCCAGGTCACCAGAACTAGTGTTCCCATTGGAAAATTTCCACTTTTCTTGGGTGCATGTCCCCTAAATGAGAGAAGACATACCCCGAAAGCTTGTCCTCAAAATTTTATGTTAGTGCAAATAAAAAAAGTATCACGGAAAAAACTGTTTCTGTCGCAAATGCACTAATACGGCTACAATCACCTCAAGCACTTTTCTTGGGACAACCCAAAATTTGGGATAATTATAAACAGGACAAATAAAAAGGGTGAATCGCCCTAACAGGGGTATAGATGGCACTAAAAAACCTAACAGGTGTTCTAATCCATCTCCACTCTCTCCAAAACTAAAAAAAAATGTTATGCCTTTAGCTATACTTTAAGAAAAAAAATAAAAAACATTGATTTTTCATCCTTTAATAATAACCTCACTAGGGAGTGATGCCTCATATCACACAGCACCACCAACGGCCGGAGCTCTTTAGAGGGTTATGTGAAATTCTTTCTGCCCTCATTAAACATCATAAACATCATTAATTTTCTCACTCTATGCCATACCAGAGTGAAAAAGAAAAGGCGAAAGACAATTCCAATACCATCAAACTAACAAGGGCTTCATCACTCACCTCTGGTGTAATGGGGGTTTGTTATTGATCACTAATATAAAGGAGGCTTTGCAACTGACCTCCAATGTAAGAAGGGATTCACAGACCAGGGTTGAGGTAGCAGCCATGATGATTTAGTGGCATTGTCTTTCTCTGGATAGTCCTGGCTATGAGATTTCCTCTACAGAGTATAAATGGTGGCTTATATGGGCCAGTGATATGAATTAAAAAACACAATCATTATGCAATACTCTGCTGATTAGAAGAAGCCCTTCAACATCCTTTATGATGGGTTTGATATGTAAAGTTGCCTTTTGGGTAATAACTGGACAAGGATTTCCCTCTGTCCCTATCAGAATGATGAACAATGGGACCAGGTATTGTCTGTCATCAGAAAGATCTTGTTACTTTATGCAGAAACCCGATGGGACGAACTGGACTGAGAGGAGTCGGGAGTTTGCGTTGGTTTGGACCAAACCATTCTTTGCATCCTGTACTGACAAGGTGAGCAGCAATCATGATTATTTATATACCCTTCAGAAATGAGAACTGAGCAGGATAGTACAGAGAATTGAATAGGAAGGCCGAGATGATTGAGTAGAAAAAAACAGATGACTGAGCAGAACAGCATAGAGGACTGAGCAGGAGTGCACAGAAGGCAGAGTGGAGAATACAGAGGACAGAGCAGGACAGTAGAGAAGATAGAATAGGACAGCACAGAGGACAGCACAGAGGGGAACAGCAGAGAGGATGAAGTGGACTGCACAGAAGATGGAGCAGTTCAGCACAGGAAACAGAGTGGGATAGTGCAGAAGATGGAGCAGATTGCATAAAGGACACAGCAGGACAGCATAGAAAATTGAGTAGGATGGAGCACAGAGCAGAACAGCACAAACAATGGTATGTCGAATCTCTATGTTCATATCTGTCTGCAATGAATTAACATTTTTGTGTGCCGCTTACTAGGGCTCTGTATAAGGTGCCAACAGAGGTGGACTGACTATTTGGAAACTCGGGCACTACCTGAGGGCCCGGGGTCAGTAGGGGGCCCCATGAGATGCCCCTGGTACCTTTTTCATAGGCTTTTTTGAGTTTGGGCAAGGACACAGGGGCCCCATGATCCCCTATTGCCCGGGGGCCCCATGAGTTGTCAGTCTGCCCCTGGGTGCCAATACAAAATATTTTTTAGAAGCCTCAATACATTTTGTCACACTGATGTCATCAGGTCATTATTGGCCACTCCTGATTACAGCAGTGTAATGAAACGCATTGCACTACAATATGTATTCATACAGTATAATTATCCTTTGTATTGGCACTTTATATAAAGTCCGCGTAAACGCCACACAAAAATGTTCATTTATTAAAGATTACTGTATCCCTTTAAGGGGGAGTAATCACAGTGCTGGCAGCTACAATAACATACACATCATGTTTTTATACATGTATACATGTTTTATACACATCATGTTTTTATACATGTTTTATACACATCATGTTTTTATACATCATGTTTTTATACATGTTTTATACACATCATGTTTTTATACATATATACATGTTTTATATACAACATGTTTTTAGCACAGAGTTCATATTAGTATAATATATCTCTGCAGCCTGATTGAAAACATCTAGTAAGAGGGCCCAGAACAGAGGTAATATTAGTGGCCCCTGTGGTGAATTGCACCTTTTTTGGGGGTTTTAACATTCTTGTTTTTGGCAAACACATTATGATGTGACTGCTTTTACTGACTGATTTGTTTTGTAACTTCATTCCTAGGTGTAGCACCGGCTCAGCCAGCGGCCCCAAACAGAAGGCATCCAAGAATATGCTGGAAGTTCTGGTAGTGAGGAGGAGAGAGAACGAGCTTTGGTCATTACCGGGGGTGAGGGCAAAAACAATATACTACCAATTATTGGTAACAGTATCAACAGAGGGAATTATCTATTCCAATGGACTGCTTGGTATTGAGCTGTATTACGAGTCATTCTGGATAATTAGGAGTATGGCTGAGCCTCCTGGATGATTAGTGTTAGAGGGCATTTTCTCTGGATAGTGAATTGTTTTCTGCGATTTTTACATTTCATCACTTTCTGGGTAAAGCAAACTGACAACATAAATTATATGCTGCAGTTGAAGCAGATTGAATTATAAACCACTCTCATTCATTAAATAAATCAGAAGCTCCTATCAATGTAAAGGGCCATGGAGTTGATACAATTTTGAAAATACAGTTATTATACTAATGTCTATGATTTAATTAGGTGACCCTCTCTGATCACTTGACACATCTACTGCATAGGTCATATACCTCTGAAAACCTATCTCTTCAAGGAAGAATATCCTGCCCTCAGCTAATAATGGAATCTTCTACTCTTCCAACCAGTCCATCCCGCACAGTTTCTACCTTTTGTACCACTAGCCCCTCCCTCTTAGATTGTAAGCTCCCAGGATCAGGGCCCTCCTAACCCTCTTGTATTGAACTGTATTGTTGCTGTATTGTCTCCCGTTATATTGTAAAGCGCTGAGCAAACTGTTGGTGCTATATAAATCCTGTATAATAATAATAATATCACAAGACCTAGACAATATCAAATGGAGATAGCTGGTCACCTCACTTGCTGTGTTGTATGTGTAAGACATGGTACTACATCACTGAATGACAATTCAGAGCACAAAAAAACACTGACCCATCAGAGGATAATCATGAGGAGAATATACCGGTAAATCTCCTAGGAATTAGTTTTTGATTTTCTTTTTTCATTTCTAAATGTAATTACAGTAACTAGATACACTATATAGCCAAAAACGTCTTGACACATGACCACCACACCTATTTGAGCTTGTTAAACATTCTAAAACTGTAGGTGTTAATATAGAGAGCACCCCCTGTCTTTGCAGCTACAGTATAATGGCCTCCATTATTCTGGGCAAACTTTTTACAAGATTCTGGAGAGTGTCTGTGGGAATTTGTGCCAAAGGATCATTTGTGAGGGCAGGCACTGATACTGGATTAGAAGACCTGGCTCATTGCCATTCTGTTTCAACCTAGTGATGCTCAAAAGGGTTGAGGTCAGGGCTCTGTGGAGGCCACTCGAGTTCTTTCTTGCCTTAGTGTATGTACTATGCTCCAGTTCCCTTTGCTGTAAATGTTAACTGTTCCACTGCAGAGTATTCTGAGTAATGTTCTTCTTCTGAATTTTGGGGATATTTTTTCAGGGCACGCTGGATCCTGGCCAGCAGATTCCCATTAAGTTGCAGGCCCTACTACAGCGTACATACTTGAGCGAGTTTCTGGCATTGCTGGGCTCTGGGACAGAGGTTGGTAGCTTGCTGCTTACATGTTGGTGCACCGATTGCGCTAATAGCAAAAGAACACAACAACATATGTGTCTTCTCTGATAGGTCTTCCGCGGGTACCTGGATGATCCTCGAAACACAGACAATGCCTGGATAGAGACCCTTGCTGTCAACGTCCACCTGGACAAAAAAGAGAATTTGGACAATCTGATACAGGTGAATGAGTTTTTTTTCAATATTGCCACATTTCTCCTGGCAAAGGTGGTGTCCAGGCATGCTTTAGAGCTGTGGGAGCTCAGATGAGCGTCAAAACCCTAAATAGCTCTGGCCATATTCAAGGCATGGCAATGTAAAACAAAGAGCATGGATAGCTTGGAACTGCTGGGCAGGCATGAACCAATGAAAAATAAATGTAAGAAATTCCAACATTATGATTCTCTGGGACAGCACAAGTGACAATATATTCTGTCATCATACATGTACCTTTACATTATTCCTTGGCTTACATACTGCAGCATCAACCCAATATAATTGATTTCCATTGAAAACAGTATTTATTGGGTCATTTTTGCAAAGACAACAGATATTTTTGTGTAGCAGTAATAGACCAGAATTGAGTGGTAGAAGTGGCAGACATAAGATAGACACAACAGATCTAAAATCTATCAGAAGTAAATATTTTTGGGGGAAAGAAAATAAAGCTAAAGCCATCAACTTCATACAAATGGCCAAACAGAGGCAAAACAAGGTTAATAGCATAGCTTGTCATTTTCTTTTCAGTAAAACTGGATAGAAAAATAGTAGAAAAAGTGAACTCGTAAGTTGAAACAAATAAGGTTTTTAAGGTGCCAGACATTGAAGAACAGAAACTTTAGTCAAAAGGTATTTTATCACAAGATCTATCTATATATATATTTTTTTTTTTTTCTTGCTAGAATGTAATTTCAGAGGGAGAGAGCAGGCTGATTTAATCTGGAAATTAAAAAAAAAAAAAATACAGAGACAAAAGACCAAAATATTTTACATGTGTCATGTAGTTTTTAACCCCTTCATATCGACCGCCTCAAAGGTCTTTCTAAAAGTCGTGAGGCAGAGGTAGGTATTCGGGACATGTGGCTATCACAGTGGTCATGTGATCGTAAAGCTCCAAATTGCAAATATGCATCAGGAGCCTACCAATCCCAGCCAACTACTGTTCAGGGAGCAAGCAGGGGGGCGTGCTGTCAACATGGTAAGTTGTTTTAACAGGGACGCATATATGCGGCTGCTCGGCGCTATGGCCCAATTGAGCGTCAGCATATGTATGTACAATTGGCGTCAATTGGTTAGTCCATTAGTGTGACGATTGCGGCATCAGACCCCAGCTCTTCTCACCAAACTCGCGACCGAAGGACTAGCCAATCTAAAACCGTGCTGTCACGGGCGTAACAATGCCACGCCCATCTGCACTCTGCACAAAGATTTTCCAGCTAATGGACCACAATCTGTGTATCTGCAGCCTGGGAGCGATTGTTACTGGGTCAGGTTAATTACACAATTAACCCTTCACACTGCCACCACCTCCTTTTTGTACAGAGAAAGAGGAAAATTGGCAATATCAGCAAGACCACTATGATGTTTGAATAATCGTCTGTATACCACTGTCACTGCAGGCAGAGATATACCAAAGTTTAAAACACACATACAGTAGCCCTCTTTAGAGGCAGGAATTCATAGTTTTCATTAAAGGCGGTAGAAACAGTTCAACACTTTCAGAAAGTAAGATTTATTACTAAAAGGTCAAAAGGGTGCAATAAAAATAATTACAGAAAAAGATGTAGCCAATATATATATATAAATATACAGAGAACAATAGCACAGCAAAGAGGTAACAGAAAGGAATTTAGATAGATAAAGTACTTGCCAGTCAGCCTTGATTTAAGCAGCTTCCAAGTTTTAGAGCCAAAAGGATGCTTTTATCTCCCACTGTCAGTTTCAATGTTAAAGCAGGGAGATCTTCAACTCTCACACACCCAATTCAGCCTAGCTTAGCTTTTCTAGTAACTCCACAGGGTGTCTCCCTGGAACAGTAAACCAATCGCCTCATTTGGGGAGGGAGGTGTAGGTGGAGCCCTAAGTTATGACCGAAAACTCTCCTAGCTTTTATTATGATTCATAACTTATTCTCGGGGCATTTAGCAGCCTTGCCACTAGCAGATTAACATGCAGCAGCATCTACGGCATTGTTAGATATGAAATATGACATGTTTACTTGAATGGTTCAGGAGATACAATTTTCTGCTCTCCGGTATGTGTCAGATAGGGGGTGTAATATATCAGGAAATTTGTATTAGCATCAGCCGTCTGAAGATGTGCTCCATGTTTGTGTAATTATGTCCTACGTGAAGATATAAACTTATATGAAAAAAGGAGTTTTTAAATGTAAGTCTGTTTTTACGAATCTCTGGAATGTCTTTTGAACTCAGTGAAGGACTTGGGTTATGGTTTTATGATATCCCAGATTGAACAGCTAACAGATAGCTAGGCACCAGCGAGGCTGGGGGTTTTATAGCTCTGGAGCTTTCCTACTGTGCCTTGATTGACTGTGACCTCTGTCATCACCCAGGCCACATGTCACTCAACAGAGAGGGGGGGGGGGATGATCGGAGGAGGAAGCCTGCTTTGGGAGTGAGAAATGGTACAAAATGGAAGATTCTTAACAAAATGGAGGACTGCGTCCATCTCTGTGTGCATGATTGCTACAATTAGAATTGTAATTTCAGAGGGAGAGACCAGGCAGTTTATGATGAAGGAATCTCTGTTAGAGATTTAAAAATGTCACATACCAACCTTGAAACCATTACACCCAAAAAAAGTTGTAATTAAAAAAAAAAAAAAGATAAACGTGAAGGAAAACAACCAAAAAAACAAAAATGGTAGAGCAGCAACTGTTGAGACAGAAGAAAAGAGACAGGAGGCACCCGTCTAAGTGTTGTAATAACACTGTATTTAATAACAAAGGATTAAAAACACTCATAAATTAAGTAATAAAACAAGCTCATCTGTGTATATGAGAGATGACCGTTCCTCAAAATGTCCTGCAGGCACCACCGGTGGTATTGGCTTACGGCCAATAGAAGGAGCTAGGGGTTCTGAGTGCGTAGCTTGACTGTTCCACGTCCATGCTCTTACTCCGACCCTCCGCCTCTTCCTGTGATGTCACATCCTGCCAGTGTGTTCCAGGCTGGTTACTAGGCTCCTTTCTGCACAAACGTTGCTGGATCAGCTCTACAACACCACCACTCTGCAGGATTGAACAATACAGTGTCTCTTACCATCAGCCCAGCTGCTATTGCACTAACCAACAGAGTGATCCCAGGGGTGTGTCCAGATTCGAGGGGCGGCCCACATCGCGATCAAGATCCAGGAAGATGAAGACACCAGATGGACACCCTCTGCACCCCTCCTCCAGCAGTGATTTGTGGACCGGATCGACGTGGGACACGGAGTCGCGGACACAGGTAAGACACAGCAGCCCCTGTCCATTTCCCGTGGAAGTGCCCACCTGAAAAGTGCCGCCCTAGGCAAATGCCTTGTTTGCCTCGCTGCAAATACGCCCCTGTGTATACTGCACGCTCTGTACACAGCGCACTCCCAAACCCTGCCTTCTGTACACTGCGCACTCCTCAATCCTGCAATCTGTTTGTAACACACCACTGATTTCTGCACTCTGTTATCAGCACACTGCTAAAACCGTGCACTCCAGCTATTACACATTTCTCAGCTTTACACTCTGTACATAGGTCACCGCTGAATCTGCACTTTTTTGGGTAATACACTGCTGAATCCTGCACTCTTTATGTTGCACACTCCTGAACTCTGCATTCTGTATGTAGCACACTGGGGCATGTGGTAATGATGTTGATAGCGAGTGGTGCTATGGGGGCGTGATAGTCTGAGAAAAATGCCCTGTAGCCTCATTTACACTTGTATTTGTAACTGCTCCCCCTTCTACTAGATGCACTTGAAAACAAAGATGCATTTTGTTTTGAGACGGGAGGGACCAGGGGTGTAATCAAGGGTGGGGCCAGGGGGTCAAAGGGGGCCCTGTCAGGTAGGTTGTATGGGGCCCCTTGATTCCTAACAGCAGCCCTGGTAGTGCTACATCTCTATAGGCTGCACATCTCCATCAGGATTCTGGATCAGAGGCATTACACTTCCACCGGTTCAGTCTTTTTATTCCAGTCTTTTGTTGTTTCAGAACCTGAAGGAATCAGATGATGACATAACACTGCGGGTGGCAACTCCTGGACCATAAGATTCCCATGTATGCCAATGAGAAGGAGATTCTCCAGAGGACAGCCGAGCACCTCCATGCCCAATATTAATTTATTGAATAAAGCTAGTTTATTATTGTCATATTTTCCATCCCTACTTTCAAATTTCCCCCTTGATCAGCATGGTAATGACAATTTTAACCGTTTCAATACCGGGCAATTTTACACCTTCCTGCCCAGGCCATTTTTCAGGTTTCAGCGCTCTCACACTTTGAATGACAATTGCGCGGTCATACAACACTGTACCCAAACTAAAATTTTATCATTTTCTTCACACAACTAGAGCTTTCTTTTGGTGGTATTTAATCACCGCTGGGGTTTTTATTTTTTGCTAAATTAACAAAAAAAGACCAAAAATTTTGAAAAAAAAAAACACATTTTTTCTTTGTTTGTGTTATAAAAGTTTACAAATAAATAATTGTTCTTCATAAATTTAGGCCGAGATGTATTCTGCTACATGTCTTTGGTGAAAATGACCCAAATTAGGATGTATTATTTAGTTTGTAGGAAAGTTATAGAGTTCACAAACTATGGTATAGATCTGAAAATTGATCAATCCTGAAGTACTGACGGCCAATCTAATTTCTTGAGGTCCAAGAATGTCAGAATAGTACAGATATCCCCAAATGACCTCTTTTTGCAGAGTAGACAGTCCGACGTACTTCATAAGAGGCATGGCGAGTTTTTTGAAGTTGTATTTTTTTGTCATAATTTTTCGGAAAATTAAAAAATTAAAAAAAGTATTTTCACTATTTTTTTTTTACATACTGTCACCAGTGCAGTACAGCGTCATCATATAACTGGCATGGCGGTGAACAGGGACACTGACTGACAGTATGAAAAAAAAAATATATATATATATATATTTATATATATTTTTTTTTTTTTATTATATTAAATTTTTTATTACATTTATTTTAATTTTTTTTAAGATTTTTTTTTCATATTTTACTATGACCAAAGTAGTACAATGTTACCATAGTAACATTGTACTACTTTGGGGAAGTGATCAGTATTTTTTTTTTTTTTTTTTACACAATTTGCTTATAGCAAAGAATTACTTTGCTATAAGCAAGCATCTACCTGAATGAAATCGATTCATTCAGCTTTTTTTTTTTTTTTTTTTTGTGCTTAGCTGTGATTTGGTCACAGCTAATCACATGACATGTGCATGTGATTAGCTGTGACCATTCACAGCTAGGCACTAGTATACAATGGATGGCATCATGAATGAAGCCATCCATTGTATACAACTGTCATGTGACCTGCTGTGATTGGTCACAGCAGGTCACATGGTACCAGCAACGGGAGCCGGTACTCGGATCTGTCATCGGCCGTGTCCGAGGTGCACGGCCGGTGACAGATCGCACTGCTGCGCCGCTCTGCATTAGCGCAAACTGCGCATGTGCGGGAGCACGCCAAATGGCGTGCACCCGGAGTGCAGAGGCACATTTGAAGCCGCCAAACGGCCATTGGCTGGGCGGCTAATGGTAATGGTTAAACAAATCTGTTTTCATTACATATTATATTTTTAATCCAGTGGCATCATCACTGAGTTCTCTATGCAATGCAAGCAGATTATGGCTGATGGGAGGGATGGGGCTGGCAGAGTACATCATTTCCTGAAAACATCACAGCACTCTGCTTCAGTACTCCTCTCAAGAGCTCTCAGCCCCAATGCAAGCAATGGGTGGGGTTTTGGGAGTGGTTTAGCAAATATCAAATTGCCTTGATGGAAAGATGTTAGTGTTGAAGATTTTGGGTTCCTAGGCAAACGTCTTTACATGCAGACCCCAGATAATGACCATATGTGTTGTTGAGTCTGTATAATTGAAAAAACTTAAAACCAATGAATGGAAGGGGAGGGCCGGGGACAGGGGCGGACTGACAACTTATGGGGCCCCCGGGCAATAGGGCAACACTCAAAGCACACCCAAAAAAGCCTATAAAAAGGTACCAGGGGCATTTCATGGGGCCCCCTACTGACCCTGGGCCCTCGGGCAGTGCCCGAGTGCTCGAATGGTCAGTCCGCCCCTGGCTGGGGATCATCAGGCTGGGGAGGAGAAAGCTAGATGATGCTGGATGTTCTGTAGCCAGAAAATGAGGTGAGCGCTAAGTGTACAGCAGAGGAGCTTGTGCAGGACTCCAAGGAAGGCTGGAGTTCAACTTTAACAATCAGCTTAGTGGCACCGCTCAGTGCAATGCCACGAGGCAATAGCCAAAGCAAACAATATCTTGGGGTGTATAAAAAGGGAGGTAAAAACATGCGATGTCAAGATAGTATTCCATTTGTATCAATCACCAGTAAGGACATATGATTTCTGATGAAGGTTGACCATCAGGTAAATTAGAGCCCAATTCCTGCTCTATGTTCCCCCCAAATCAATCCCCTAACCTGTTCTGATGCATGAATTGGTGACATCATGATGATGTCAGCACTGTTCTCTGCACTATTACAGTGTGAATAAAGGATTGCCTCTGCAGGGGGCGGGACCATGACACCTTGTGTTCACAGTCCATGTTCTGTCTCTCCAATCTAAGCATTGATAGTGTGATCTCTGTAACTTACAGTTGTGATGAGATAGTGATAACTCCAATCTTAGTTAAATAACATAAGCAGTGACTCAATCAGATGACCCCTTGTAGATCTTGTGAAGTTTATTCCATAAACTGAGAGAATCTTACAACAATGAACATCAGATTGGTCAAAAGATCATAATGTGATCTGCTTCATGACATGAGGCTAGAAGCTGAAATGCATTACTGGGAAAGGGTGGAGCTATCTATACAGCATGAACTAAACCAGAGGAAAGGGAGGAGCAGAGACAAAATACAAAGAACACTTAAAGGCATATGACAGTCATGTGAAACATGACAGTCCTTTAGCCAGACTTCCATGTTAGATGACGATAGTCTTCATTCAACCTGGAAGACTCAGGGCATCTTGTGCCATAGAAGAGGTACTGTGGGGGGTTGCAGATCCAGACTGATGATGAGTAGACCAGCACGAGTTGCTGTTTTATTATTTCACTTGCTTAACTTTGCGAAAAATTGGAAAACTCTGTTCCAAACATTTTTTAACCCCTTGACACCGACGTCACAAGAATATGTGGCTTCACAGAACTGGGCTTTTTTTCGTGGGGCTGCATATTTGTGTACCTGTCTTTTTGCTAGGAGCACGCAACACAGCGTGCTCCCAGCACAAAGACCGGGGTGTCACTGAGAGCCCCAGGTCCCGTTCTAATGATTGGCACCCGGGACTCCCGATTCTGGGTCTTGTGATTGCTGTGATAGCCTCTGATTGGCTATCACAGTGACCAGTCACTGTACAGCCTGGCCCCCTTGTTTTTTTCTCTCGCTATGAATGGAGGACATAGATACATTGTATCTCTCTAACTCCTGGCATAGAGGGAAGGGTACAGGACAGGGGCATGACTGGGATGAATGGCAACAGGATCTGGCAGCAGCGAAGCAAAACACTGCAGCAAAAAGACATTAAAAAGGAGGACCTAAATACCCTCCCAGCAGCCAGTATCAAGCAGAAACGGTTTACTGGGACCTGCTGACTACTGGGAGACACCAGTTGATGGACACTGGAATTAAAACCCTCTGCCCAGGGAACCACAGTGCCCCCAGCAGGTAATCCAGGTTCTGACAGATTTGTTGTCGGAATGGTGAGTTGGTGTTATAATGGACCAGTGAAATAGTGGTTTAGTAAGATAGTGGATGTTGGGTTGGCGTTTTGGAAGATTGGCGGGGTAGTTGATTGATGTGCTGCTACCTTGATAGGATGGAGATTTGGTGAAATAAAATATTGATGGGTTGGTTGAATAATCATTCAGTAAGATGGTGGGTTGGTTGGGTGCTAGGTTGGTGAGTTAAGCTGGCCATACACAGTATGATTTCTTTGCTTCAGCCTTGCAAAGTGGATGGATTAATTAATCCTGCTGGTTATTGTATTCTGACAGCTGGCGCCTATGGTTGCTAGAATATCTTAACAGTGGCTGCATCTGATTGAATGAAGCTGCTGTTCAGTTGACAATTTTCAATCTGGCTCCATAGATTCTCAGATCAAAAGGATGTTGGGCAAGTAGGTGCTGACAGAGACACCCACAGGTTTACTTTAGTATGGTCAGCTGAATGTTGGGTTGTGACATGATGAATCAGTAGCTTGGTTGTTGGTGGATTGACAGGTTTCTTGTTTCGTGGGATGAAATGTTGATGGTTCTCTGAGTTGCTGGGATGATGAGTTGGTGGATGGATGTGTTACTGGGATGGTAAGATGGTGGGTTGGTGGGATGGCGAGATGGTGGGTTGGTGGGATGGTGCTTTAGTAAGGTGGTGGGATGAAAGTTAGGGGGATGGTTATCCAGTGGGATAGCAAGTTTCTAGGTTGCTAGGATGATGGATTGATTGATAGATGGGTGTGTTGGTAGGATGGTGAGATGATGGGTTGGTGGGATGGAGGTTTAGTAAAGTGGTGGGATGGAAGTTTGGGTCGATGGTGGATTAGTGGGATAACAGGTTGTTAGGCTGGTGGGATGATGATCTGGTAGGTTGGTACATTGTTGGGTTGGTGAAACAGAGATTTGGTAGATTGGTGGGTTGGTATGTTGGTGAATTGGCATGTGGGATGGTGAGATGATGGGTTGGTGGACACTTATTGAGCTATAAATTGCAGAAAAAAAGCAAAGCTCCATTCATGATGCATTTTTTTTCCCTCCTACTCATAAACCATACCTTGAAAAGCACCAAGCCACCTCTGTACCCCTTCACAACAATACATTTCTAATGTGTTGCTCTTCTCTAACACCACTCAATGAAAAAACCAATATATACTGTACCACTACCCCCTTAGGAGTTACTGATGAATTGGGTCCCCCTATAGTCCTGCACAGCCAGGCATCACACATCTTCACACAGACTTACATACAGAGTCGGAGATCAGTCCTTGAGCTTTGGTTTTGTTGTTTTTTGAGGGGGTTTTGAACTGGGATAGGGCTAGAGGTGTACAGGATGCCCACGGGTACCAATGAACTGAGGACAAGAAC